TAAGCTCCGTTAGGAAAATATTTGCACATTTGTTTTATTTTTTCTTAATCAATCCTCAGACTATTTAGTCTAGGGAATCAGGACTTTAAAAATAATATATCCTCTGTTTCAGGAATATTTAAATTCAGAGTTTCTTCATCATTGTTGCCTGAGTTTTACAAAGATATTTTATCATAGAATGTCTGATAATCAACTAACAATGAAAAATGAAACTTCTCTACTCTCAAGATTGTGTTAATGGTATCTTCAATCTTGTCTCTTAATTATTAGCATGTGGTTATATATATATATGTTTTTATATTTTCATTTATTGAAAGATCAAAAGAACAAATGTGAGTCTTATTTTCTTTTCATAGAACTGTCTACTTTAACATTACTTGCATTAATAGACAAAGTATGAATAATCAAAGAGATTTAAAGAAAATTATCTGATTTATTTTAATTCAGTTCAATATATTTCATGACATATGTGCTCTCTATATACTATGCAGGGCATTATGCAAGAAGTGGAATTTAAAGATAAATGAGGGATAATTCTTGTTTTCAAGAAGATTATGGTCTAATGCAGAAGAGAGATAAGTAAGAGGATAATTTAAGTATCATGTAGATGGTTTCCACTTATGATCATGAAGGAGTAGTTTTATGGAATTTTCTCTTTTACCATAAACAGCTAGAAAACTAAAATAATATGGAAAACTATTTTAGATATTAATATCTGAATATTATTAACATTCAGATATTAACAATGTAGGATTTTGATCCTTGAGAGAGAGAAAAAACAAATGAGGTACGGCCTACGATTATTCCAACTTCTACCTAGAATTGATTTTTGTACAGTAGTACTGGGAGGAGGAATTTAAGCCATGAAAAGTGATCTGATGGGAGTTGAAGACACAAAGACTGGAGGTCAGGGAGGTCAAGGAGGTCAAATCAGCTAGTTCTATTCAAGTCAATGTACTTGAGAGGGCAGGTCTACGAAGTAAAAGCTCCAGAAATTTGTATAGAATCTACTGTATAGGGTCCCCTTGAGTCTTTGGCTATACATTAACTTGTGAATACATTGGGGAAATCCCACTAGGCTTAGTCAAGGAAAACTACCATAGAGTGATAAAGTGAATAATTCTAAAAGCTCACTTCATAAAACGATAAATTATTGATGCTCCATATTATATAATAGAAATAGCTCATTAAACAGAAGAGCCCTGTCTTAATAATAATATTAAATTTACCTAGATTAAATGCTCTTATAGACCCACCCTATAAAAGTGTTGTTTATAAACAAATGTGAACCTCATTCATAAACAACTTAACTGCTCTAATAACAAACATAAAATGCTGTAGAGAAAGACAGAAAAACTCAAAAATTCAATAAAATTGTAAACACGATGTCTGGCATACAGTCAAAAATTTCTAGATATGTGAAGAAGCAACAAATCAGAACTTAGAGGAAGGTGGAAATTGAGTCAATAGAATTGTACTCAGATATGACAGCAGTTAGAAGACAAAGAGTTTAAAACTGCTCGAGCAAATATTATATTTTCAAGGACATGATCATAATTAGGAATTAAATAGAAGATATTATAAATAGCCAGACAAAGAAAAAGCATGTGATATATCCAATATATCCAATATCCTTTAATGATGAAAACACTCAACTGGATAGAAGGGATTTTCTTCAAACTAATAAAGGACATCTATGAAAAAACATAGCAAATGTCATTTCTTTATTTTATTTATTTTTATGTGGTATTGAGGGTCGAACCCAGTGTCTCATATGTGCTTGGTGAGCGCTCTACCGGGAGCCACAACCCCAGCCTCACAAATATCATTCTTAATGGTGAAAGAATGGAAGTTTCCCATCTAAAATTAGGAATAAGAAAAGGATACCCAGTCTTAACTACTTCTAATCAATACTGTATTTTAGGGTAATTCAGCAAGAAAAGAAACAAAAGGCATCCAGATTTGAAAAGAAGAATTAAAAATATCTATTTAAAGACACACTATCTTGTATACATAAAATCCTAAGGAATTGAAGAAAAACTAATAGAGCTTATAAGTTCAGAAAAGTTGCATGATTTAAGGTCAACATATAAAATAATAATTTCTATATGTTAGCAAATAATTTATAAGTGGATTTAAGAAAATTTTATTCATTAGAGCATCAAAAATAGGAATGAGTTTTACAAAACACAAGAAACTATAAAAGCATTGTTAAGAAAATTAAAGAACTAAGCAAACAGATAAAATGAAATCCTGTGCTTGTGGATTGTCACACAATATTGTTTGATGGCAATACTTCCAAAAGTGGTATAAAGATTTAGTGTTACTCTCATCAAAATCTCAGCTAGATGTTAGCTAAAAATTGACCAAATGATGCTAAAATTCATTTGGAAATGCAAGTCAATTTGTTTTGACAAGGATAACAAGATAATTCAAATAGTCTTTTAAAATAATAGTAATGGAATAACTTAACTGTTCACATTCTAAAATGCATATGAATATCTACCTCATGACATACACATAAATTAACTCAAAATGGATCAAAAAGACCTAAATTATGTCAGAGCTAGAAATGTAAAACTTTTTTCAGTGCTAAGCACGGAAAAAAAAAAAACAAAATACAAAAATACCCGTGTAGATCTTCATTCATTAGGAAATGAATTTTAGAGGATGGATTGGAGTTAGTTGAAGGAATAAAAGGAGGTAGGAGATTTTAGGTAGAACAATATTAGTAATAATGAGAAAACTTGTTTTGTGTTTGAGTACTATGAAAAGTCATTTGAAATAAAGTTTAGTGGGAATTTTTGTTTTTAGATATGAACAAGCAATAAAAGTAGATAAATTTGACTTCATCAAAATTAAAAATGCTTGTGCTTTGAAGAATATTATCAAGGAAGTATTTGATAAGGATTCAGAATATAAAAACTCTTACAACTCAACAATAAAGACAACCCAATTTAAAAATTAACAAAGGACTTAGAAGTCATTATCCAAAAGAGAGAAAAGGCCACATTAAAAAATGTTCGACATCATTAGCCATTGGAGAAATGCAAATCAGGACACAATGAAATACCACTAGAGTGGCTTTAATACATTTGGATAATAATAGTGTTTGTGAGGACACAAAGAAATTGGAAACTTCAAGTTTTTCTGGTAGGATTACCAAATCATGTAGCTGCTTTTGAAAAAGGTTTAGCTGTTTCTCAAAACATTAAACCTAGAGTTACCATGTGACTTAATAAACCTACTCCTACGCCATTTAAGAGGATTTAAAACAAAAGTCCACATGTGAATGTTCATAGCAGCATTATTCATAGTAGTGTAAACAACCTAAAAGTCTATCTATTGATCAGTACCAAAATAAAATATGGTATATCTATATAATGGAGTTTCATTGAAGCATAAAAAGAATGAAAACATTTGATACATGCTACAATATTGATGGTCCTTGAAATCATTGTAATATTGCTAGGTGAAAGAGGCCAAACACAAAAGGCCATGTATTATATGATTCCATTTTTGTGAAGTGTTCAGAATTTGCAAATCCATATTTGTAGAAAGTAAATTATAGTTACCTAGAGCTGAGGAAGCTGGTGAAATTGGCAGTGATAGCTAACAGGAACGGAATGATAAAAAATTCCAAACTGAAGTTATAGATGTAGAAATATGTGACTATATTAAATCCTGCTAAATTATACCCTTTAAAGGGTTAATTATATGGTGTGTGAATTATCTAAATAAAAAATTGTTTTGCAAAAATAATCAAAGGAGCTATAGGGGTTAGAAAATACAATAGCTGATAGTAACAGTTGCTTAGAAGGGATTAACAGAAGATCAGAGAATGCAGAAACACACTGAGAAATAAGACTTCAAAAACCTAAAAAGCTCCCCAGATACCTGTGGGATAAAATCAAGTAGCCTAATGTATGTGTAACTGGAGTCCCAGAAGTCATGGCAGAAAAGTTAAAATGTTTGAAAGATTAGATGAGTTTTAAAGGACGAATTGGAGTTTGTAGTGAGAATAAAGGGAGGCAGGGGATTTTAGGTGAAAGAAATAATATTAGTAACATTGAAAAGGCTTATAGTAAGGAAGGTTGGGGATGGAAGAATAGAAGTTCATTGGATTAGTCAAAGGGAAATGAAGAGAAGGGAGGAGGGATGAGAATAAGAAAGGCAGTAGAATATATCAGACATAACTTCCCTACACTCATATATGAATACACAACCAATGTAACTCCACATCATGTACAACCACAAGAATGGGATCTTAAGTAGAATAAGTTATACTCCATGGATGTATAATATATCAAAGTACATTCCACTGTTATGTATATCTAAAAAGAACAAAAGAGAAAAGCTTGTAGTCATGTAGTGAGTATTTTTAAATATTATTTTAAACATAATGTAGTTATGAAAGATAGTTTTCTTATCATCTTATGAGAAAGTTTATTTATACTTAGTGATATTACATGTTTTATATTCTTTTTTGATAGCCTAACCACCATCTAATTTATCCTTTTGCGTCCAGTTGGTGATAAATTAGTGCTGATTAGTTTATTAAAGACAGTTCATAGGTAGTAAGGGATAGCCAAATGGGCTTAAAATTGATTAAATTGTACTTAAATTATTCATATATGAGAAAAAGTCAATAATGCTTATATGTTAAAAGGCTAAGCCAAAATACTTCAAATATGGGTTATGTTTGCCGATTTGTTTGTAGACATTTAGTGATGTGAGGTTTGTATTTTTGTGAAGAATACCATTGGGATTTTGATGGGGGTTGCATCGAATCTGTATGTTGCTTTGGGTATTGTGAACATTTTAAGAGTATTAATCCTGATTTATGAACATGGTATATCTGTTTAGTTATGTTTTCTTCAATTTCTCTCCTTCTTCAGTTTCTTTCATAAATGTTTTATAGCTTTCAGTGCACAAATCTTTTACCTGCTTGATTAAATTTATTTCTATATATTTTGGGATGTTATTGTATTTGTTTCTAGAAATGAAGTCAGTGGAACAAGATAGTGGCCAGTTGAATGAACTTCAAAAACAAAAGAGTGAACTGATACAAGAATTGCTTATTCTCCAGAGAAAACATAAAGGTATTACTTTCATAAGTTAGTCTGTTTTGCTGACAGAATAGTTATATACACATAATTGGGTTATATTATTCTTTCAAAATGCAATGGTATATATGCTAGTATTGGTATAAAAAAGAAATAGAAACAACGTTGAATCAATCAGGATTAGAACTGGTGGTTTTTTTTTTTAATATCATGAATTTTGTAAAGATCTTTTTGTGCCTTTAATTGCTATATTAAAGTAGAAATAAAAACATTAGTTTGTACATTTGTTATGAAGCACAGTTAAACTATTTCATAAAAGTGAATAAAGATAACCTTTATGTTTAATTTTTAAAAGATTGTAAAAAATTTCTTAATTGTTTAGTTCTTGAAGATGAAGAGAATGAAGCCATTTGTACTACCAAAAACCTAGAGGCAGAAAAGATAAAAATCAAAGAAAAGCCTCAAAATGATGCTGAATGCTTAAGGTGAGAATTGTCTATTATATTTTGGTATAAAATCTGGTAATTTAAATAGTTAAATAGACTTTAGCAAAAAGTTTAGTGATTTTTTTTACAAAGTTAAAAGATAAAGACATTATTTCCTTATTTGTATGTTTTAAAACTTGCTGGAAAGCACACACTTCACTGTTTGGAAAGTCCATATGCATTGGGTTGATAACAGTGACATCAGTTTTTTACTTACTTCCATCTTGTAGACTGTTATTCATATCCCCAAAGATAAGACAACTCTCCTTTTTGTTATTCCTATTTCTAAGGGAGACACTGAAATTATATTTAATCTTTCTAGGTTCCAGAGGGTAGAGAATCAGAGAATCTCCTCTTTTACCTGAAATTTGTTACTCTGATTTGGTTCCCAAAGAATGAAAACTGTTTTTTGTGTATAATAGTGCTTTTAATGTATTTGAATAATTGAATAATAGCTGATAGTCTGAATTACATAGTCATAAACATAAGGGGAAAAGACCTCCAGTTTCTTATTTGAGTATTTTTTATTGATAATTCAGGGTTATATTTGCTGACTTCTAAGTTTTAAAATTCCTGTACTTTCTAGCCTTAAATAAGAAATGAAACCTCATTACTGAATCTATGAAGAAGCAAATGAAGCCTTTTTTCACATAAATCATAGAGGAAATATGTCCACTAGAGCTGAACAAATGCTTCATATTAGCAATGTTTTGCCTTCGGCCATAATTTTAGTAGATTGTGAGAAAATATTTGCAATTTAATTTTATGTTAAGTTTTATAAGCATAAAATATCAACCTCTTGGGTGATATATATGATACAGAATGAATTTCTGTAATGACAGTCTGCTCATTGATTTCTTTATACTTTTAAAAATGGTAGTACCCACTGGTATCATCATACTTAGTAGTGTGAGAGCTTCCAATATGCACTCCAGTTTTGTGGTTTTATCACTCAGTCATGAAGTTTTCCCTGAGTTAAAATTAAACACGCAAGTCTGTTAGAGAATGCTTTTTTCTTAAAAAAAAAAAATGGTGACAGAGGAAACAGGAATAGAAGGGAACATCAGTCCATATACCTAGTTCATTCATTGTATTTTAGTAGTTATTAATGAATTGCCAATTTTATCAGTTCCCACTTTAAATTCCTTGATCTCTGTACTTAGTTTTCCTACTAATATGTTTTGTAAAATTTTTCTCAAGTGTGATAATTCAGGGTTATATCTGAATTATATATGAAGAGTAAAAGCAAGCACTGAATATAATATTTCAGAGAAAGGACCATCAATCTGATAATTAGTGCAATAACACTTGTCTTGAAGGTTAAAAAATATCCCTAATTGAGAAACAATTTTATTTAAGGTTATTATAATTAAACTTCTACTTTTATTGAACTTTATTAACCAGTAAGAAAGCAATTACAAAAGAACACTTTAATATCGGTTCATCTCTTGAGCTTATTATTTCCTGTTTACTCCTCATCCATAATTTCTCTTTCCTCAGTTTCTGAAGTTATGATGGTAAACTGTGGTAAAAAAACACATTTGTCTTGATTCTTTCAAGAAGAAGAGACCACATTCACATAATTTTTATTAGAACACATTGTTATAATTATTTTATTTCATTATTTGTTATTATTGTTAATCTCATACCGTAACTAGCTTATAAATTAAACTTTATCAGGTTTATGTATAGTTATGTATTTGTAGAAAAGACATAGTTTCCCCACAGATAGGGGGGGCTACTGCACTATGTTATTCCCTATATATACATACTTACCTATAAAAGTTTAATTATAATTTAGGCATAGTTTATAAAGATAAACTGGGTGATGTAGAGCCTAGTCTTTTCCTTTTCCTATCATTTTGGAGGTGGGCCTGCCTCAGACAATTGTCTTCCACTGCTTGTCTACCCACTCACTAGGTTTTAGAGTGGTTTTACAGTGAAGGCTTGTGGAGTCCAGTTCTGCCTATAATGTTGTGAGTCATTAGTCTAATTCTGAGTTCAATAACCTGGTCTGCAGATGTAAACTGCATTCTCCAGACTCTGCTTTATCAGTAAATAAGATGTTTTAGTCTCTCATATTCCTTCCTTATTTTTTAATTGGGCAGATGTGAGGCAGGAAAGAAAAATGTTATATACTGGGCCCCATCAAATTCCTTGAACTATTATTTTTCATTATTGCTCAATACCAGGGTTACCAAAATACAGTGCTTGATTGTTATTTTTTAATATACTCCAAATAGTAATACAGCAAATAATTTATACATTTCCAGCATTTTCTTTACCCATAAAACTTCTTTCTAGAGTGATTTTATATTTTGTGTATCCAACATTTGTGGTTGTTTAATACAACAGGAAATGTTTCAGAAATAAATCTGCAAAGTCAACAGCATGAGATTTTCATTCTTGAACACTTAAAAGATGCTGTGGTTTTGTGAAGAGCATATTTGCAATGGAAACTGCACAAAAATTAATCTACATCTGCTACTGAGAGACTCCAAATGCATTTATGGATAGTACTAAAGCAATGCTGTTGACTTTTCAGTGAAAAAGTCATTCAGTTAAGTTGTCATAGAGGTCACATTGATGGTTCTTAGGTGTATGAGAAGGCTTACATATATTGTGGTATTAAAACACTGTAAACCTCTCTTATGATACACTGATAAACATGCATATTTATATATGAATTTATTTATTTTTTATTTTATGTATGTGTGTATATACCACATATGTTTAAATTGTGAGAGCAGGCTATTTGATTGAATAAAAAATTCAAACAGTACCAAGATGTAAAAATCAGTCTCCCTTCTCCCTTACTGTAATGCATGAAGCCTATTATTGTTGAACATTTGCTGTGTATGTGCCAGAGTTTGTGTGCTTCTATTTATGTGCATAGGCACATGTATGCATGTGTGTTCAGGAAAAATGGGATCATAGGATCCTACTGACTGGACTCTTGTTTGATTTATTGCTCAGCAAAATGTTATAGACATTTTTCACATTAGTTTGTAGTGATTAACTTCATTTTTAAATGTCATTGTCTGGAGATGCCATATTTAACCATTCTCCCATGAATGGATATACAAGACAGTTTATAAATATTTATAATTAGACATGTTTCTATAAATGTATCCTTATGCTTACAGGAGAGTTTCTGTAACATTACTTTGAATAAACATCATTTGGTAGAGTATTAGGAATTGTTACCCAGGCTACATTTAGAAAATTGTCCACATTCATTTTGTTCTGTTTTCAATAAGAATCAACTCAAAGTGGACAAGTTTAATAAGATCTCAGCTCTAAAATTTATCAAAAATGTTAGTCAAGTAATTATATATCTGTACCCAACCTATATTATCTCTCTTTTTAAACATTTATAAAATATGAAAATCCTCATTTAATTCTAGGATCATTCTTAGCTATATATTTTGTTGAATATTTCTGTTGACTCTGCATTTTTTCTGGTAGAACTTCATAATTTATTCACTAACAGATATGTCTCTACAACATTGATTAGGTAGCTTTCAAGCTAATAGAGATCCCCTGTTTTGTGAGTTCTTGGCATATATTCTAGTTACTAAGCCTTCTAAGTAACTACAGGGGAAATTTGATGGTAGTCTCAATTGATTTTTTTAAAAGTTATATTCTGATATAAATGCCTGTTCATTCCCTAAATTTTGAAATAATTTTGAATATTACATAAGCAATATACAGCATTACCATGATAATTTTCTACATTAATTATTATCTTTCATATCATCATATAGGTTTGATTTGGTTTTTCATTTTCACGCTTCTTTTTATAAACACATTCCTTTTGGTGCCACTTGGGAAGATGACAAAAAATGTGTAGTAAAAACAATTGCCTAATCCAGGCAACCCAGAGTCTGGAGTAAAAGAAATGCTGGCAAGACCCCTCTTCTACTCTATCTCAGCAGATTCCTCTGCCTGTGAAGTTTCTTGCCTGTGTGGTGGTTGCCCGTACTAAGGGAAAGCATAATTAGAAAATCAATAATTCTGTTTTCACACAATCAACTTTCAAACTCATTTTCAGAAGTAAATTATATATGGAAGAAGGCCACTCTATATTTCTTTTGAAAAAGTAATTTTGTGTTCAGATGGCACCAACATAATTTTCATATGAATTAATATAGAGAAATCATATTTAAAAAATCAAACCATGGAAAAACCTAGTGGAAAGTAGAGAAGAGTACTTATTAAACCTCTAGTATGACTAAGGAAACTAAAAAGGAAAAGAGTAGCATAAGATTTAAAATTCCATGTATTGAAAATGTCATCAACATGAAATGGTAAACTGGAAAAAAATTATAGAATCATGACAGCAAATTATTAAATAACCAGCTGATTTAAAGTTCATAAGAAAACACTAAAATCAATGGTTTTTATTCATACATTTATCCAAAAAGCAGGTATTAAAATATCTGCTTTATATCATATAATATGCTAATTACTGAGGATACTCAGCTGAATTAGACAAGCTAATTCAGGTGTACTGAATTATCAATGAAAGACAAATTAAAACCACTCAATATTTTTTCTGTCAAATTTTGAAATTATTTAATAATACATAATTTTCATATGAATTTTAATAATTTTCATAATAATCTTCATAATTTAAAAATTAATAAATGGCCGTATTAAAAAATGTGTATTATAGAGATGACATATTGCTGCTATCAACATACATAATAAATATTTGTAATGCAATTTAAGGTATGTAAATTAATTATCTTTAAAATGGTTATGCGAATTTGACTCAATAATTCTGCTTGTGAGCTCTATTCTGAGTACAGAAGAAGCTTTATGCACAGAGAATGTTCAGTGTAGCTTCATTTATGGTAGAAAAAAAAAGGAAAAACTGAAATTCCCTACCATAAGTGAATGATTAAGTAAACTCTGGTGTAGCCACATGGACTACCTACAAATTTATCTTAAATGGTATTAATTGGCATACACAGTTTAGTAGTGGAAATATATAA